CATGAATCTTACTGTTCAATCACCCACTTCCCACACACAACAATAGCTCATGGGTACCACAGATAACTTTGCCAAAGTTCTCTGCCAAAGTTGAGCACGTGAAGCTTGCAGCTCCCACTACATCGCTCTGACCAAGAAGGGTAAAAGAATAGCAAAGAAACAGCACTAACAAAGTTTAGACACATAAATTTTGAAGGTCTAGCTACCATATTATTACCCACAAGGGTAAAGGAACAGTACCACTGCTGGATAATTGGAAAGTCCCCGTGTGTCCACCTCAGTGCTTCGTGGCAAGGTAGACTAGTAAACATGCCCAACCTTTACTCACTTTCGAGAAAACACTCCCAACCAGATTGCTTGCTCCAAAATCCACCGTCCTCCGCATCTCGAGGGCCAGACTCCCAACATGACTACTTTCTCAAAAATCGAAGATGGTAAAGGAACAGTACCATTGCTGGATAATTGGAAAGTCCCTGTGTGTCAACCTCTGTGCTTCGTGGCAAGGTAGACTAGCAAACATGCCCAACCTTTACTCACATTCGAGAAAACACTCCCAACAAGATTGCTTGCTCCAAAATCGAAGAGGCACCGCCCTCCAAATCTCGAGAGCCAGACTCCCAACATGATTACTTTCTCAAAAATCGAAGAGACACTGCTCCCCGAATCTTCGAGAGCCAGACCCCCAGCATGATTGCTTTCTCAAAAATCGATGAGGCATCGTTCTCCGAATCAATCGAAGAGGCGCTCGCTTTCTCAAAAGCTGGGCTGCTCAGAGACCACGAGGGCCGATCTCAGAAATCGAAGAGGCACCTACTTTTCTAGCCTTGTCAGCACCTGTCACACGCACACTCAGCTTTGCAGAAATTATGGGCATTCTGTCGAAGACTTCTGGTGAAGTAGAAAGCACATGAATCTTACTGTTCAATCACCCACTTCCCACACACAACAATAGCTCATGGGTACCACAGATAACTTTGCCAAAGTTCTCTGCCAAAGTTGAGCACGTGAAGCTTGCAGCTCCCACTACATCGCTCTGACCAAGAAGGGTAAAAGAATAGCAAAGAAATAGCACTAACAAAGTTTAGACACATAAATTTTGAAGGTCTAGCTACCATATTATTACCCACAAGGGTAAAGGAACAGTACCACTGCTGGATAATTGGAAAGTCCCCGTGTGTCCACCTCAGTGCTTCGTGGCAAGGTAGACTAGTAAACATGCCCAACCTTTACTCACTTTCGAGAAAACACTCCCAACCAGATTGCTTGCTCCAAAATCCACCGTCCTCCGCATCTCGAGGGCCAGACTCCCAACATGACTACTTTCTCAAAAATCGAAGAGGGTAAAGGAACAGTACCATTGCTGGATAATTGGAAAGTCCCTGTGTGTCAACCTCTGTGCTTCGTGGCAAGGTAGACTAGCAAACATGCCCAACCTTTACTCACATTCGAGAAAACACTCCCAACAAGATTGCTTGCTCCAAAATCGAAGAGGCACCGCCTTCCGAATCTCGAGAGCCAGACTCCCAACATGATTACTGTTTCAAAAATCGAAGAGACACCGCTCTCCGAATCTCGAGAGCCAGACCCCCGCATGATTGCTTTCTCAAAAATCGAAGAGGCATCGTTCTCCGAATCTCGAGAGCCAGATCCTCGATAGGATTGCTTGTTCGAAAATCGAAGAGGCACCACTTTCCCAACTTCAAGAGCCGGATCTCCTTGGATAAAGCTTGTCTGTAATCTTCACACGCAACATCAGCTTTCTAGATACCACAGACCACTTTTTCAAAGTGCTCTGACAGAGTTAAAACATGTGAAGCTGGCAGCTCCCACTACCGTGCTATGACCAAGCAGGGTAAAGGAATAGCATTACTACTTGTTGTTAGGGAAACTCCTATATATGTCGACCTTCATCCCTAACGGACAGGCAGACCTGCAAAAATGCTCAACCCTTCCTTATATCTGAGAGGGCACTCCCAACGAAGCCTTTCGAAATATTCAGCTTTCTTCCCCCCGATAATACCTCTGCAAACAAGCTATACTAGAGCAAGAATATCTCATATCATCAGGGTTAAAAGCAAGAGTATCCCATATCATGCTTTTTCCCTGTCTTTTCCTTTGGCCTTGTTCTTACCTGCAAGACAAGGAGAAAGAGAGCAATCAGTCAGCACTTGGAATCAAGCTTCCAGCCAGGAACTGACTGCCTGGAACCCCTTACCTGATTACTTACCTGGCATTGCTCTTGAGTACTCATCTTCAACATCTTATGCTCCCAGGGAAGATACCGCATATGCCTGAGGAACAGATAGGGCAAGTGAGAAGGATACAAGGAAGCATATGGAGACAAGCGTAACAGCACACGTGCCGATACATCCATTACTCTGTCAAAAGCAAAAGTATCCCATATCAGCAAGGTCGAACATACTCTAGATTTGATGGACTTGTTTTGACCCTCAAATTCTTCAGTCGGCCTTATACACTGGAGGAAACCAGAAAACCCTCCAGCTCAGTTCAAGAATAAGCCTGTGGAAAGTTACTTCTTCAAAAGCAAAAGTATCCCATATCATCTCTTCTCATTTTTCTTCTCTTTATCCTTCATGCTGCCTGCAAGATAAGGAGAATGTGAACAATCAGCCGGAGCTCTGATTGCTTACCTTGTCTGTCACCTCTTTCAGCAGATCCCCTAGCTCGGCGACTTGGGGACTCCTACTACATGGTTTGTATCGCGCTTGACCAAGCTTGAAACTACAAGTAAGCTTCAAGTGAAATTGATACATTACCTTGTGCATCTCCACCAGTTACAGATACCACCCCTGGATGGAGGAAGAGTACTTCCAGAGAAGATGCCACATCTACCTATGAGACAGATAAGGCAAGTCAAGACGATACCACACTCCGGTACTTAGAAGTTTCGTGGTTACGAGATCATTCTCCCACAATATTTCCTAATGTCATTTGTACTAAATCATTCACTTGTACTCACTAAAGGAGAGCTTGAACCTACGTACTTGTGTAAACCCTTCACAATTAATGAGAACTCCTCTATTCCGTGGACGTAGCCAATCTGGGTGAACCACGTGCATCTTGTGTTTGCTTTCCTATCTCTATCCATTTATATACTTATCAACACTAATGACCGGAGCAATCTAGCGAAGATCACAAAAAGTGACCGTTTTCGCTACCTAGGATCTATCTTGCAGGAGAACGGAGAATTAGATGGAGATCTCAACCATAGAATACAAGCTGGATGGATGAAGTGTAAGAGTGCATCCGGCGTGTTGTGTGACCGTCGTAGGCCACTGAAGCTCAAGGGAAAATTTTATAGGACGGCAATAAGGCCAACGATGTTGTATGGCACAGAATGTTGGGCGGTGAAGCATCAACACGTACACAAAATGGGTGTAGCGGAGATGAGGATGCTTCGTGGGATGTATGGGCACACGAGAAAGGATAAGATTGGGAATGAGGATATCTGAGGTAAAGTAGGAGTAGCCAAAATTGAAGGAAATATGAGAAAAAATCGGTTCCGGTGGTTTGGACATGTGCAAAGAAAGCATATTGACGCTCCGGTTCGAAAATGTGACTACGGGACAGAGGTTCAGGGCCGAAGGGGTAGAGGAAGACCTAGGAAAACTTTGGAAGAGACCCTAAGAAAAGACTTGAGTACTTGGATCTAACGGAGGACATGACACAAAACCGAGCGCAATGGAGTTCTAGGATTCATATAGCCGACCCCACTTAGTGGGAAAAGGCTTTGTTGTTGTTGTTGTTGTTTGACTAGAGCAGTGTACTTACTTTTTTGCACCCAAGTTGAATTTAGTATAAATTATTCTATGGTTTGGAAATGGAAATAAAAAAAATAAAAAAAGTCAATTCATGAATAATTCAATGTAACGGAGTGTTTAAACGCAAAACTTGAGCGAGACATTAGCGGAATGATAGTTTCAATCCCGACCACAAATTTGCTACACCAACTAGTATAGGGCCTCGTATCGGATGGAAGATGTCGAAGAGGACGCTTTCTGAAAAAAAACAGCATACATCACAGCCATGATGCGTAGTCTGAAAACTTTCTGACACAAATCACCAAATGGGCAAGCTCAAAGTTTACAAATTTCCAATTGGGTAAGTTCAAAGTTTACAAATTTCCAATTGGGTAAGCTCAAAGTTGACAAATTCCCAATTGGGTAAGCTCAAAGTTCACAAATTGTCAATTGAGTAAGCTCATATTACAATATTCACTTAACAGAGCAATTTTTAAAATGTGTGATCAAAAGTATAATGATTTGTCAAAACGTGCCTATTGTGATTAATTATCCTTGTATTATTAAAGCAATGTCATATCAGAACGACAATGTACTCACTTTATGAAAATTCTTCGCGTCCGTTACATTTTAGAATGTACACATGGAAGTCATTCAAAACATAATCACAGTTGCCATGTGTTTTCCTGGTCCGCCAAATGATCATTTTCTTGTCCTTTGTGTTTTGTTAAGTAGTTCCTGCATTTTGGCCCCCATTTTCTGATTAATATATGAAGGGCATGAACCTTCGCATATAGAATTGATTAAACAGCAGTTTTAAAAAGTGAAATCAAAAGTGCCACAATTTGTCAAAAGTTGTCAAACTGTGAGTTTGTGACTAATTGCCCTTGTATTACTCGAGCAATGTGATACCACATCAATGGTATGGTATACTCGTTCTATGGAAAGTCTTCATGATCTTTATAATTTAGATAAGACAAATGAATGAATCATTCAAAACATAAAGTTTTTTTAATTTTATTTTTAATTTTTTATGTTAAATTTTTTTTCACGCATTATTGTGTTATTTATTTAAAATATTGACTAAATGGCGAACTAGATAAGTGATTCTCGTGGAAAGAATACAAGTTAGGGATGGGCAAACAGGTATAGGAACCACGGGTCGAGACGGGTTCAAAAATTATAAATACAAAACGAGACGGAACAGAACAGGACGGGACGGGTATAGGTAAATAATGGGGCGAGATGGTTCTAGAAATTGGAAAAAAAGGCCCCGGCCTGGACCGTTGATTTCCCACCGTTGACTCTCTCTCTCTCTTTTTCTTGTCCGAGACTCCCAAGACCCCATTCCATTCTCAGACCTCCCCTCTCTAGGTCTCTCCTCCTTGAATCTCATTTGCTCTCTCGCCGCCACCATCATCATCAGACCTTGATTTCTCCTCCTGATTCACTCTTGTCTTCCTCACTCGGTCCGCTGCCATCATTATCAGGCCTCGTTCGCTTGATCTTTGGCGACTCTTTGTGGTGCGCCGACGACAAGGTCGTTGATGAGTTCCTGATGGAGTAGCCAATCCCGCCGTACCTGTTCGCGTTCGCCGTCAACAAAGGGTTTGGGTGGTTCTTTCCGGTGGTGGCTCTGGGAATGCTGAGGTACATGATCGCCACATCAAACATCATACATGACTGCGACGAGGTCTTCAACTTTTGGGAGCCTCTCCATCTCGATTCTCTTTCTTTTTCCTCTCTGAAAAATTGAAACTTTGTTCTTTTTAGGTGTTTTGTTTCTGGGTTTTGATTGTTTGTTATTTTCTGGGTTGTTTTTATTTTGCTTGTTATGAAATTATTTGTCTTTGTGGTTATTTGAAGTTTATTTGATATTAAAGATGTTAATATAATGCTATGTTTGGTTATAATTTGTAGAGAACTATTAAGCTCTGGATTTAATTTATTGGGGAAGTTGGTTGTGTAATTTCTCAAAAAAAAAAAAAGGAACATAGGGCCCGTGTTCTCGGCCCAAACCGGCCCGTCCTGTTTCCTTTTTAAGTGGATCAGGTCCGGTCCCTCCAAATTTGAGTCTGGCCCGGCCCGGCCGGTGCCCATCTCTAAATTACAAGTTTCTAACTTTTCTTGTGCGCGTGGATTGTCATTTTGTGCTGTTGGTGGAATACTGACACAATTGCAAACCTAATTCTTTTAAAAAAGGAAAACTAATGAAAAATGCTTGAAAACTTTGAGTTTTAATGATAAGGACAAAATAAAGGGTAAAGTGAATAGTACCATGATTGACTTTTTAGTGTAAAAATGTGGTTTTTCGTTAAAGTGAACAGTACCGGGTGCTTTTAGTTAAAGTTCCCTTTAAAAAATTTGTTTGTTTTGTAGCTTCTTATCTTCAAAGTTTTGTTTTAGAGGCGTTTGGTCATATGTCATTTTGTTTTGTCTATTTTCGTTACATTAGGTGTAACTTTTTTCTTTTCTTTTCATTTTAATAAATGGGGGTAAGGCTAGCCGACATTCACCTCTCACAGACCCTGCGTAAAGCGGAAGCCTTGTACACTGGGTACGACCTTTAATAAAATTTCCTTCTACCATTGAGGTTCTACCAGAAGAAAATGACAAATGAAAAATAATCTACCCACAATTCATCTAAATTATGAAAACAAAGAAGAATTTAGACCCAAAACACAATGGTTTGAATAGAAAAACCTTATCCCAAGATAACCCACAATTTGTGATATTTCACTCCATGAAAATCCTGCTCAATTTTCATTCCTTAAACATCTATTCAGGATATGGCAAGTAAAGCGTGGAGATTGGTTACAGCCCTTGTGACTAAACGTAAACGATGGTAAAAGGAATTAGCATAGCAAATTGAATTATTGCAGAGCTCTAAATGTTGTGAACTGTAATGGAGGATCGCTCAGTAGAAGAAATAAATAAGTAGTGGTGATGTAGGACTGTTTTGTAAGGGATTTTGGGTTAAAGTGTAAGGGTTTTTGTAATCGGGTTCAATTGTAATCACCTAAGTCTTTAGTGGAGCCTAGTTAATTTGTTAGTGGTGTCCAGCTGGCACACATGTAGTGGGGAAAATAACACTGGCGCGTGGTTAAATGGTGGCCAGAGGAAATTGTAAGGGCATGATGAAATTAATGAGCAGAATATCCTTCTCTCTTTTCTCTCTACTCTGTCCCTTCATCACTGTCGCCACAGCTGCCATTGCAGGTTGAGGCCATAGCAGGTCTGGGTCTTATCACTAAAGTCTTTTGTGGTCTGGAATCTGGATGCGTTGACTTTCATAAGCGATCAGATGAGTTCGATGGAAACAAGTCCCTTCATCTTCATGATCATCTGAAAACTTCAATTGATGCAGTAAGTTCTTCTTCCAACAATATCTATATGGGAAAGCCATTATTTATTCGTTATTTATTTCATTTTCTTCATCTTAATTGCAGCTAAATATATATATGGTTTCATGTTCAACACTTTGTTAATTGCACTAAAGTTTTCAAATTCAACTGAAATCTGATTGAGCCCCTGTGTAGCCGATTGAACATAAAGATTTTAACATGTAAAAAGCATATGGTTTTTAACATATATACCCGATTGAGCCCCTGTGTAGCCGGTTGGACGGTTATGGAATTGCATAAATTTGTATACAATAATTAGTTTCATCTGTTTTAATTGTGCAGCTGTGACTACTTGTGAGTCTTGATTGGTATTGCTTAACGGATCAAACTTCCAATTCAAGAAACTATGGCGGCAGAAAATTTTCTTGTGGCATTCCTCCAAGTGCTGGTTGACAAGTTGGCGCAACGCGAGGTCTTCAAGTACTTTGGACTCGTAAAGGGCATCGATCAGATACTGAAGAAGTGGAGTGCCACCTTGTCTGCAATTGGAGCGGTGCTGAATGACGCGGAGGAAAGGCAACTGACTGCTGAGAGCAACGCACTGAAGCTCTGGCTCGATGATCTCAGGGACTTGGCTTTTGATGCGGAAGACGTGTTGGATAAATATCATACTAAAATGTTGAAACGTCAGATACAACATGCTCATTCCAGCACAACAAGCAAAGCATGGAAATCAATTCCTAATCGTCTTTTCAACTTCAAAATGAATTTGGAAATACAGAAGATTACTGAGCGATTACAAGAGATATCTGAAAGAAAAGACCAGCTTAGTTTGAAAATTGATACTGGGATGTTGACTACAAGGGCACATCAACACATATCGCCTAGTTCTAGTCTACCGGATGGACCTGTGATTGGAAGGGAGGAGGACAAAAGGAAGATTGTTGAGCTGCTGTCAAAGCAAGAGCATCGTGCTGTCAATTTCGATGTAGTTGCAATTGTTGGTATGGCTGGAGTTGGAAAGACAACACTTGCTGGACAAGTACTCAAAGATATTGTTGCAACCCAAATGTTTCAACCAGCCATTTGGGTGTGTGTATCTGACGACTTCAACCTTCAAAGAGTGACAAAGCAAATTCTTGAATCAATCACATCTCGACAATGTACCACAGAAGATCACAATAAGGTTCAAGATGATCTGCATAAGGAGTTAGCAGGGAAGAAGTTTTTAATTGTTTTAGATGATGTTTGGAAAACGTGTAGCTACAGAGAATGGATGAAGCTGCAGTCCCCTTTTCGTGATGGAGCACAAGGAAGCAAGATAGTTGTGACAACACGTGATACAGATGTTTCAAAAATGATGGGAGCTGCCACGCTGGTTCACAACTTGGTGCCTATGGAAAATCATTTTTGTTTGCAAGTATTTGAGCAGCATGCATTCTTAAATTTTAACGACAAACCGCCAAATTATGAGTTACTTCAGGAGAAAATTGTTGCAAAGTGTAGGGGATTGCCTTTGGCTGCGAGTACCCTCGGTGGTGTTCTACTTCGTAAAGAAATAGACAAATGGGAAGAAATATTGAACAACAAGTTGTGGAGTGTCTCAAATGAGCATGACATACTTCCTGTGTTGAGACTAAGTTACTTTTATCTTCCTTCACATTTGAAAAGATGCTTTGCCTATTGCTCAATACTTCCAAATGACTATGAATTCGGGGATATGCAAATGATCCTTCTGTGGATGGCCGAGGGTTTGATTCTTTCTCGACCAGAAGATAATAAGCAAATTGAAGATTTAGGCGCTGATTATTTCCGGGAGCTCGTATCTAGGTCATTGTTTCAAAAGTCAACCAAAAATACTTCAAAATATGTGATGCATGACCTCATTGGTGATTTAGCAAGATGGGCAGCTGGAGATATTTGTTTTAGATTGGAGGATAAGCAAAATGATGATGGTGTACAACTTAGATGTTTTCCAAAGGCACGCCATTCGTCTTACTTTATGGGTCACTATGATGGGGCTAAAAGATTTAAGGCATTTTCTAAAGTGAAATGTCTGCGAACCTTCTTGCCACTAAGAAAGGGTTCTGGCTACAATTACTTAAGCCATCAGGTTACTTCTGATTTATTGCCAAAATTGCAGTACTTGCGGGTGCTCTCTTTTAATGGCTATAGAATAACTGAGCTGCCAAACTCAATTGGTGATTTGAGATATCTACGATATCTTGACCTTTCCTACACAGCTATAACTAGTTTGCCTAAATCAATCAGTACTCTTTACAACTTGCAAACATTGTTATTGGAACGCTGTTCCTATTTGAAGTCATTGCCTGCAGACATAAGTAATCTAATTAATTTGCGCCATCTCAACAACTCAGATGTATCTTGGGTGGAAGGAATGCCTCCAAAACTAGGTAGATTGGTGAACCTCCAATCTTTGCCTAATTTTGTGGTCAGTGGTAGAAGTGATCAATCAGGAATAAGAGAGATAGGGCCTCTATCGCATCTCCGAGGGACATTGTGCATATCAGGATTGGAGAATGTGACTGATGTCAAGGATGCTCAGAGGGCCAATTTAAAATACAAGGCGAGGCTTGATTCGTTGGTCCTAAAATGGTCTTATTCAAGCGACACAAGAGAAATGGAATCTGCTGTGCTTGACATGTTAGAGCCTCATAGAAAGATCAAGGAGCTCACCATCAAGAGTTATGCCGGAAAGGAATTTTCATCATGGGTTGGAGGTCATTTGTTCTCTAATATGGTGCTTGTGCGCTTAGAGGAATGTAACAATTGTTTATCTTTGCCACCTCTTGGACAATTGCCTCAACTCAAAGAACTTTATATTAGAGGAATGAATGCAGTGGAAAGTGTTGGTGCTGAGTTTTATGGAGAGCGTTACTTGCCTTTTCAGGTATTAGAGACTCTTGAGTTTGTGGAAATGCAGCATTGGAAAGAATGGCTTCCTTTCCAACTGGATCACGAAAGTGGTGTTTTCCCTTACCTGAAAACACTCATAGTAAAAAAATGTTCTAAACTGGAGGGTAAGCTGCCAGAGAACCTCAATTCTTTAGGTAAGCTTGAAATTGTTGAATGTGAAGAATTAGTGGTTTCGACTGCCAACTACAAACAACTTCGTCAATTAAACATTGACGGTTGTGAAGTGTTGGTGCATACAGCTGCTAAGGTTGAGTTTGAGTTATTAGAGTCCTTGTGGCTTTCAAGCATTTCAGAGGTGATGTCTCTACAAACAGGAGAATTGTTCAACAAGGGATTAAGCAAGGTTAAAGATTTGAAGATTAATGGATGTGAGGAGGTGACGTCTTCATTCAGGAATGAGGCTAGATTATTGCAGCAGTTGACTTCTCTTGGCTGTTTGGAAATTGAAGGCAACTCTCTTCTAGTTGAAGAATTGGGAAAGGAAGCAGAGGAGTTGCAAACATTGGAGTGCAGGATTGAATGTCTGGAGTTAAACAAGTGCGAAAATCTTATGAAGCTACCAAAAGGGTTAAATCAATTGTCGTTTCTTCAAAAGCTTGGCATACACGAATGTTCACGTCTAGTTTCTTTCCCAGATGTTGGTCTGCCACCTTCTCTTAAAGACATCGAGATTACATCGTGTGATTCGTTGATATATTTTGCAAAATTCCAGATTCCCCAAAATCTCAGAAGAATAGAGATAAGAGAGTGCAAAAGTTTGAAATCACTAGTAGAGGATGAGGCTTTTGGTTCTTCCTGGTCGTCTTCTTCTCATAGTTGTCTTGAGTACTTGTTTATCGATGGATGTAAAACTCTGACGTCGTTATCATTGAGTGGCCAGCTTCTCAGGACACTTAAACACTTTCAGACATACAGATGTGAACAACTGGAGTTAATTGCACAAGATGGGTTCTTCTACGACAACACTAATTACTGTCTTGAATATTTTAGGATATGGAAGTGTGAAAATCTGAAATCCTTACCGGATGGTTTATGCCACCTCAGCAATCTTCAAAAGCTACATATTCAAGAATGTGGAAGTCTTGTTTCCATCCCGAGACTGAGTGGGGGGAAAAGACCCTCCAACCTGAGGGAGATCGAGATCAGAAATTGCGAGAAATTGGAGGCGTTGCCCGAAGACATGCACAATCTCAACTCTCTTGAGGATTTGAGAATCGACTACCGTGAAGGTTTGACTTTTCCTCCCAACCTCACATCACTTACAATTTGGAAAGTCAAGAGCTGTAAGTCATTGTGGGTGTTGGAGCGGGGGTTGCACAGACTCACCTCTCTTAGCAAGTTGGGGATCTATGGTGATAACCCGGATACGGTGTCGTTTCCACCAGACATGGTCCGCATGGAGTTGCTCCTCCCTAGATCTCTCACTCAACTCCATATTTGTGGCTTCCCGAATCTGAAGAAACTGAGCAGCAAGGGCTTTCAATTCCTCACCTCCCTTCAATCGCTTACACTATGGAATTGTCCAAAGCTAGCATCCATTCCAGAGGAGGGTCTGCCTCCTTCACTTACGAAACTTTGGATCTTTGGGTGTCCTGTGCTAAAAGAGAGATGCCAACCAGGAAAAGGACGCTACTGGCACAAAATATCCCACATTCCTTCCATGCAGATATAGATTTTAAGATGATTTGAAGCTGATGGTCGATTCGATCCCATTCTCTAGGTTCAGGTATCATCTTCTCAAGGAATGTTTAATGCCATGGTCTTCCCCCCAGAAAGCTTTTGCTGCATATCTGAAGGTACTTTTATGGTTTAAAGCCATGGTCTTAGTAGCTATTGCTTTGGCATTTTTGGCTAGTCAATTTTTAGATACTGCTGGACTAAGTTCCAATATGCTCATTTGCAGTCCTCTTGCCCAGAAACCATCAATTAAACAACAGCAGAATGCGATAAACTCTATTCAGTATACTCTTCAGTAATAAGAGCTTTTGATCAAGAAGAGGTAATGTTTACCTTTATTCTCATTTTTCCTTTCCTTGCTCTAAACTACTTTTGTGCTGGCAGTTTGGTTGTTAAAGGAGCAATTTTCCTTCTGCAAAATGTAAAATGCCTGTAGTTACTGCCTATTGAAACCAAGATACTTGTAATAATTGGTTTTTGTTTCTCGTTGCAGATTTTCAAAGTCTATTTGTGGACAGTTTCTTGAGCAGGCGACACCCTTTCAAGCCGAAATGTAATTGTTATCTCAGATAATTGGCAGACTGATTGTAGTTTAGAAGAGTAACAAGTTCCATTGGCAGAAGGCCAATTGCCTAAGCTATTGAGTAATTTGGTCAGCATCTCCTGCTGCTTTCTTGTTTCTTTGGCACCGCCACTTCGACTGCCACTGGTTAGTATAGGGCTTCATATCGGATGGAAGATGTCTAAGAGGACGCTTTCTCCAAATAAAAAAAAAAAAGCATATCTGAAAACTTTCTGATACAAATCACCAACTGGGTAAGCTGAAAGTTTAGAAATTTCCAATTGATTAAGCTCAAAGGTGACAAATTTCCAATTGGGTAAGCTCAAAGTTAAAAAATTGTCAATTGAGTAAGCTCATATTTCACCCCCTTTCCAATTAATGAAGGACACTATATAACTTCTTACGGATACAATTTATCAAAACGTACCTATTGTGATTAATTACCCTTGTATTATTCAAATGTGATATCAAAATGATAGCGTACTTACCCTAAAAAAATTATTTATGGCCGTTACACTTTTAGACTATACACATGAATTAGTCATTCAAAACATAGGAACAATTGCCATGCGTTTTCCTAGTCTGCCAAATGATCAACTTTGTCTTCTTGTCCTTTGTGTTGTGTTAAGGTAGTTGTTGTATTTTTGCCCCCTTTTATAGATAAATGAAGGGCACTACGAACCTTCACATATATATTATAAAATTGATTAAAAAAAGCAGTTTTAAAAAGCGAAATTATAAGTGCCACCATTTGTCAAAAGATGTTCACAATAAGTTTGTGACTAATTTTCTTTATATTATTCTAATTTTCTTTATATTATTCAAGAAATATAATATCATGATAACTGTATATTGTTTTAGTACCGTTACACTTAAAACTAGGCACATGAATCAATTCTTCAAAACATAAAAGTTTTTCTAATTATTTTTCTTTGATGCTAAGTTATTCATCGCGCATTATTGTGTTATATTTGAAATATTGACTCAATGATAAAGTAGATAAGTGATACTCGAAAGAATATAACTTATTAACTTTTGTTGTACGTGGATTGCCATGAGGATAGTGGAACTGCAACTTTTCTAGCATGTGGAATTCTGACACAATCGCAAACCTAATCCTTTTAAAAATTGTTTGTTTTGTAGCTTTCTTATCTTTTATATTTTGTTTTAGAGAGATTTTGTCTTTTATTTTTTTATCTATGTATTTTTTTTTACAAAGAGTAAGGTTTATGTTTTTTTTTATATCAAAAAAATTCCTTGTACCATTGAGATATTACCAAAATAAAATGACAAAAGATAAATAATCTATATTAAATTCATCTAAATTATGGGAAGAACTAGGATTTAAACCCAAAATACTGGGGCAATCCACTTGTAATAACTTCACTCCATCATGAATCTTACTCAATTTTCATTTCTTAAACATCTATTCAAGGGATAGGCTTTTTAGCCAAAATAGTTTCTGAGATTTACATAACTCATCATTTTGTTTCTGAGATTTGAAATCAATATAAGTGGTCTATAAGATTGTCTACCATCAATCATTTTGATTATTCCGTGAAACATTATGTTAAATAAGGATCAAAATGATAAAATACATTTAATTTAATAAACAATAGGCCAAAATGATCTGACAAAAATTAAGAATATTTTTGTCATTTTATTCTTATTTAATGAATATTTTTCATAGAATAACCATTAATGTGGACAATTTCAAGAATCAATTCTATTAATTTCAAATCTTAAAAACCAAAATAATGAATTATACAAATTTAAAGAACTATTTTAACTAAAAAATCTTCGGGACATGGTAAGTATAAGTGTGGAGTTACTGCTCTTGTGACTAAACGATGGAAAAGCCGAATCAGGACTCATGGCGGCGACTTCGGTAAAATCTAGTGTCGGTAGGGTTAAGAGCTCTTGGGGTGTTTGCCAATTTCCAATGCTTTTTCGTGATCTGCCAAATCATCAACTTTGCTTTCTTGTCCTTCCAACTGTGTGGCTCACGATAAAAGTTGCATTTTTACTCCTCATCTTAAATTAGGATGTACTTTCATCATATATTTTAAAAGAAAAACTAATGAAAAGGTTTTGAAAACTTTGAGTTTTAATGATAAGGATAAAATAAAGGGTAAAGTAAATAGTACCAGGATTGACTTTTTAATGTAAAAATATGATTTTTCGTTAAAGTGAACATTACAGAGTGCTTTTCGTTAAAGTTCCCTATTTTAAATTCTGTTATGTATTTTTAATTTAACTCTGATTAATTTTTATATTAAACATTTTTTTTAATTTACAAATTTAATCATCTTAACATTATTTTTTTTATTTTTTTATAACAAAAATTTATGACCCAAGGATAGTAAAGAGGGGATAACAAAAATTTTTGCCACAAAGGATATATCATGGTAAATTGAATTATTGAAGAGCTCTAAAGTCTTTTGCCATATGGAATCTAGAATTGTTGATTTTCATAAGCGATCAGATCGATGGAAACGCGTCCCTTCATCTTCTTGATCATCCGAGAACTTCAATTAATTTAGTAAGTTCTTCTTCCAGCTATATCTATATGGGAAATCCATTATTTATTCATTAAATATTTCATTTTCTTCATCTTAATTGCAGCTATATATATATGGTTTAATGTTCAACACTTTGTGCAGTCTTAAGCTCGAGAGATCAAGCTTCCAGGGAACTACTTAAATCTTAATTGCACTAAAGTTTTCAACTGATCCTCGGAAGCAAGTGTCCTCGTGATCCGACGACTTCCATGTAAGTTCTTGCTACACATCCGGTTTTATATTCATTCGAGTTTCGAGTTATGTAACTTGTCGTGTCCTAAATTAATAGTGGTAGTTTAAAATGTAAACAATATATAATTTTTGACATATCTGATTGAGCTTCTGTGTACCCATATAATTAGTTTCATCTGCTTAAATTGTGCATTTGTGACTACCATGTGCTGCTTCTTGTGCTTTGTGCTGTGCGCTCAGGACAATAGTTTTTTATTACACAGAGGAAACAGGAGAAGACAAAATTATGCCCTGCGACAATGAAGAGATAGAGAAAAGAAAGAGGAGGATTTATCATAGCAAATTGAACTATTGAAAGCTCTGAAGTCTTTGTCGTCTGGAATCTGGATTCTTCGACTCCAATACGAGATCAGATCAGATCAGATGCAATCAAGTCTCTTCGTCTTCATGATCATCTGAAAACTTCAATTTAATGCAGTAAGTTCTTCCAATTATATTTATATGGGAAATCCATTATTTTTATTTAATTATTTCATTTTCTTCATCTTAATTACAGCTATAAATAATATATATATTTATGTGGTTTAATGGTCAACAGTTTGTGCAGTTTTAAGCTCGAGAGCTCAAGCTTTCAGGGAACTACTCAGTCTTAACTGCGCTAAAGTTTTCAACTTCAACAAAAACTTGATCCCTGGAAACAAGTGTTCTCTTGATCTGACGACCTGACGACTTTCACGTAAGTTATTGCTACGCATCTGGTCCTCTTACTAGTGTAACGTGTTTCAAGTTGTGTACCGTGTCGGATTATAAATTAATAATGTTATTTTAAAATGTAACAAAGATATGATTTTGTAGTCTCGAATTTATCTTTTGTGCTTTGTCTGTCAAATTAAGCAATTTTGAGTAAAACGTAATTGAACTTATCATGTAATTGAACTATTTGACAGTAAAACGTAACGTGACTCACATACCCGATGGAGCCCGTGTACCCAAATAATTAGTTTCATCTGTTTAAATTGTGCAGATGTGACTACTTGTGGGTCTTGATTGGTATTTTTTCAACGGATCAAACTTCCAATTCAAGAAACTATGGCGGCAGAGGCTTTTCTTGTGTCATTCCTCCACTTGCTGGTTGACAAGTTGGCGCGTCGCGACGTCTTGAAGTACTTTGGACTCGTAAAAGGCGTCGATAAGAAACTGACGGAATGGATTGCCACCTTGTCTGCAATTGGAGCTGTGCTGATTGACGCGGAGAAAAGGCAACTGGCGGATGAGAGCAACATACTGAAGCTCTGGCTCGATGATCTCAGGGACTTGGCTTTTGATGCGGAAGACGTGTTGGATAAATATCATACTGAAATGTTGAAACGTCAGATACATCATGCTCATTCCAGCGCAACAAGCAAAGCATGGAAATCAATTCCTAATGGTGTTTTCAACTTCAAGATGAACTCAGACATACAGAAGATTACTGAGCGTTTACAAAAGATATCTGTACGAAAAGACCAGCTCGGTTTGAAAATTGATACTGGGACGTTGACTACAAGGGCACGCCAACACATACCGCCTAGTTCTAGCCTACCAGATGGACCTGTGATTGGAAGGGAGGAGGACAAAAGGAAGATTGTTGAGCTGCTGTCAAAACAAGAGCATCGTGCTGTCAATTTCGATGTAGTTGCAATTGTCGGTATGGCTGGAGTCGGAAAGACAACACTTGCTGGACAAGTACTCAAAGATATGGTTGCAACCCAAATGTTTCAACCAGCCGTTTGGGTGTGCGTATCTGACAACTTCAACCTTGAAAGAGTGACAAAGCAAATTCTTCAATCAATCACATCTCGGCAATATACCACAGAAGATTACGAGAAGGTTCAAAATGATCTGCATAAGGAGTTAGCGGGGAAGAAGTTTTTAATTGTTTTAGACGATGTTTGGAAAACGTGTAGCTATGGTGAATGGATGAAGCTGCAGTCCCCTTTTCGTGATGGAGCACAAGGAAGCAAGATAGTTGTGACAACACGTGATACAGATGTTTCAAAAATGATGGGAGCTGCCACGCTGGTTCACAATTTGGTGCCTATGGAAAATGATGTTTGTTTGCAAGTATTTGAGCAGCATGCATTTTTGAATGCTAACAACAATAGACCACCAAACTACGAGTTACTTAAGGAGAAAATTGTTGCAAAGTGTAGGGGATTGCCTTTGGCCGCGAGGACCCTCGGTGGTGTTCTACTTCGTAAAGAAATAGACGAATGGGAAGAAATATTGGACAACAAATTGTGGAGTCTCTCGAATGAGCATGACATACTTCCCGTGTTGAGACTAAGTTACTTTTATCTTCCTTCACATTTGAAAAGATGCTTTGCCTATTGCTCAATACTTCCAAATGACTATGAATTCGGGGAGATGCAAATGATCCTTTTGTGGATGGCCGAGGGTTTGATTCATCCTCGACCAGAAGATAATAAGCAAATTGAAGATTTAGGTGCTGATTATTTTCGGGAGCTTGTATCTAGGTCATTGTTTCAAAAATCAACTGCAAATATTTCAAGATATATGATGCATGACCTCATTGGTGATTTAGCACGATGGGCAGCTGGAGATATTTGTTTTAGATTGGAGGATAAGCAAAATGATGATGGTGTACAACTTAATCCGAAGGCACGCCATTCGTCTTACCTTTTGGGTCATTGTGATGGGGTTAAAAGATTTGAGGCATTTTCTGAAGTGAAATGTTTGCGAACCTTCTTGCCACTAAGAAAGGGTTCTACCTACTTTTTTAAGTCGTCTGGTTACCTTTGATTTATTGCCAAAATTGCAGTACTTGCGGGTGCTCTCTTTTAATGGCTATCGTATAACTGAGCTGCCAAACTCAATCGGTGATTTGAGACATCTACGGTATCTTGACCTTTCCTACACAGCTATAACTAGTTTGCCTAAATCGATAAGTACTCTTTACAACTTGCAGACATTGATATTGGAAGGCTGTAATGATTTGAAGTCATTGCCTGCAGACATGAGTAATCTAGTTAATTTGCGCCATCTCAACAACTCAAATGTATCTTCGTTGGAAGGAATGCCTCCAAAACTAGGTAGATTGGAGAATCTCCAATCTTTGCCCAATTTTGTGGTGTGTGGTGGAAGTGATGAATCAGGGATAAGAGAGATAGGGCCCCTATCGCATCTCCGAGGGACATTGTGCATCTCAAGATTGGAGAATGTGACTGATTTCGAGGATGCTCAGAAGGCTGACTTAAAATGCAAGGAGTGGCTTGATTCTTTGGTTCTAGAATGGTCTCATTCAAGCGACACAAGAGAAACTGAATCCGCTTTGCTTGACATGTTACAGCCTCATAGAAAGATCAAGGAGCTCACCATCAAGAGTTATGCCGGAAAGGAATTTTCATCATGGGTTGGAGGTCATTTGTTCTCTAATATGGTGCTTGTGCGCTTAGAGGAATGTAACAATTGTTTATCGTTGCCTCCTCTCGGACAATTGCCTCATCTCAGAGAACTTTATATTATTGGAATGAATGCAGTGGAAAGTGTTGGTGCTGAGTTTTGTGGAGAGCGTATGTTGCCTTTTCGGGTATTAGAGACTCTTGAGTTTGTGGAAATGCAGCATTGGAAGGAATGGCTTCCTTTCCAAGCCGATCACGAAGGTGGTGCTTTCCCTTGCCTGAAAACACTCTTAGTAAAAAAATGTTCTAAACTGGAGGGTAAACTGCCAGAGAACCTCAATTCTTTAGCTAAGCTTGAAATTGTTGAATGTGAAGAATTAGTGGTTTCAATTGCCAACTGTAAACAACTTCGTCAGTTAAACATTGACGGTTGTAAAGTGTTGGTGCACACAGCTGCTAAGGTTGAGTTTGAGTACTTAGAGTCCTTGTGCTTTTCAAACATTTCGAAGGTGATGTCTCTGCAAACAGGGGAATTGTTGAAGAAGGGATTAAGCAAGGTTAGAGATTTGAAGATCAGTGGATGTGAGGAGGTGACGTCTTCACTGAAGAATGAGGAGGGTAGATTATTGCAACAGTTGACTTCTCTTGGCAGTTTGAAAATTGAAGACAACTCTCGTCTAGTTGAAGAATTGGGAAAAGAAGCAGAGGAGTTGCAAATATCGGAATGCAAGCTTGAATTTCTGGAGTTAAAAAAGTGCGAAAATCTTTTGAAGCTACCAAAAGGATTAAATCAGCTGTCGTCTCTTCAAGAGCTTCGCATACACAAATGTTCAAGTCTAGTTTCTTTCCCAGATGTTGGTCCGCCACCTTCTCTTAAAGACATCGAGATTAGAGAGTGCGATTCGTTGATATATTTTGCAAAATTCCAGATTCCCCAAAATCTCCGAAGAATAAAGATAACATGGTGCAAAAGCTTGAAATCACTAGTAGATGAGGAGACTGTTGGTTCTTCTTGGTCGTCTTCTACTCATACTTGTCTTGAGTACTTGAGTATCAAAGGATGTGAATCTCTGACGTCGTTATCATTGAGTGGCCAGCTTCCCAGGACACTTAAACACCTTGAGATAGAGAATTGTGAACGACTGGGTTTAATAGCACCGAACGGGTTCTTCAGCGACAACACCAATCACTGCCTTGAATATATTACCATCTGGAATTGCCAAAATCTGAAATCCTTACCGGATGGCTTATGCCACCTCAGCAATCTTCAAACTCTAGGTATTCGAAAATGTGGAGGTCTTGTTTCCATCCCGAGACTGAGTGAGGGGAGAAGACCCTCCAACCTGAGAAATATCGAGATCACCGATTGCGACAAATTGGAGGCGTTGCCCGAAGACATGCTCAATCTCAACTCTCTTGAGTACTTGAGCATCGACTACCGTGAAGGTTTGACTTTTCCTCCCAACCTAACATCACTTATAATATGGAAGGTCAAGAGTTGTAAGTCATTGTGGGAGTTGGAGTGGGGGTTGCACAGACTCACCTCTCTTAGAGAATTATGGATCATCGGTGAAGACCCAGATACGGTGTCGTTTCCACCCGACATGGTCCGGATAGAGACACCCCTCCCCAAATCTCTCACTCTTCTCAAAATAGAAGGCTTCCCGAATCTGAAGAAACTGAGCAGCAAGGGCTTTCAATTCCTCACCTCCCTTCAATATCTGGGACTTTGGAATTGTCCAAAGCTAGCATCCATTCCAGAGGAGGGTCTGCCTCCTTCACTAGAGCATCTTAACATCCATAAGTGTCCAGTGCTAAAAGAGAGATGCCAACCAGGAAAAGGACGCTACTGGCACAAAATATCCCACATCCCTGCCGTACATCTGTTTTGAGATGATTTGAAGCTGATGGTCCAAGTATCATCTCTCGAGGAATGTTTTAATATTATTAGTATGGTTTTGGGGGTTGAGGAGTGGCTGCTTTGGGAGGCCTTCAATTGGCGACAACCGGGATATTTCTCGGCCAACGTTTCTTCTTCCGGATTCCTATGTTTGCTTGCTCCCCTTTCACTTATCTCTACTTATTAATGCAACCCCCTTTATCAATCAAAAGAGGGTAAAAAGATAATTTAATCTTTTATCACACACAAAAAAAATGATGGACAATAATGTAATTTTATAGGTCTAAATTTTACTGTTTTTTATTAAAGTTTCATCCACAAGTGATATTAAAATACCTTCAACATTAAAAAACAAAAATAAACAAAACAAAAAAAAACAAAAACAAAAATCTCCCACTCCCCTCACGTTCTCTCTCTCTCTCCCTCTCTCCTTCTCATTTTCTAAAAAAATATGTTCATACACACAAAAGTGTGTAGGCAAATGCTAGTTTGTATTATAAGTGTGCTACTCCTTCTCCTAACTTTATGCCAACTATGCCCCTTAAGTATACTTAATTCTTTAATTTTCTTGGGTTAGAGTCAAGGTTAACATGTTTTTGCACAAAACTAACTAAGAAAACACTCTAGTTACATTATATTGTCAAATTATCGAATTTGATACTAAAGAATTATACATAATTATATTTAACCGTTCTTAATTGAGATTAACAGTGTAATAATATAAATTTATCATCCTTCATGATAAAAGAAAGCTTTCTTTAATGATAAACTGGTGTTAAATAATTGATAACCGTTAATGAATAACGAGTCATGACTTGCAATAAACCTCACACACACCATCAAAAAAGTTTGCAGTCGTGAATAGACTTGGCATACGGGTCTTATTTGTCTCATCCCGTTATATCTTCATGGATCTTATCGTGTCAAACTATTATTTTAACATGTTCTTAACAGGTGACCCTATAACGACCTAATTCGTTAACGAATCATGTCATTTCTTGTCAAGATAACGGATCATGCAAGAAATTGATATATCTAATGTCTAGATCATGCAAGAAATTGACAAAATGCATAATTGAGAGTGAGACCCACTCCTCCATGTTATTATATTGACAATATGTTCCCTAACCTGGAATTGGATCCTCGCCGGATCTAATTGCTGGGGATCCTAGGGATCAACCCACGTGGGCCGTTGATCAAAAATCGTGCGGTCACAATTAAATGTTTTAAAAGTAAAACAGTCTCGTTTTGATTGAAAAATATAAAAAAGAAAAAAATTGTGGCCGCACAATTTTTTATCAACGGCCCACATGGATTGATCCCTAGGATCCCCATGAATTAGATCCGGCGAGGATCCAATTCCCCCTAACCGCACAATTTATTATATCCAATGTCCAGATCTAGCAAAAGATGTCTTATCGAGTTTTTAATGGGTGACACCTAATGACCCGATTCGTTAACGGGCTCTTAATGGATGACCTGATTCGTTAACGAGTTGATCAAAAACATGTTATTTTTTGTGTCATTGCGTGTTAGATTAATAGTTGATGCAAGAAATTGACAAAATGCATAATTGAGAGGGAGACCCACTCCTCCATGTTATTATATTGACTATGTTCCCTAACCTGACCAAAATCCACCATGAAATTCCATAGCATTGAAACATGACGCCCCCAGCTCCCTAATACGCTGTCGTTTTGAGATTCCCCCACCCCGAAAAGTCCCTCATAACCGTTGCTAACCCTCTCTCAGAACCCACGCGCCCATTCTCCAACCGTTTAAACCCCACTCACTCCCACTCTCTCTCTCTCTCTCTCTCTCTCTCTCTCTCTCACTCACTCTATACATGTTCTCAGTCAAAATCTCCAAGTCCTCTGCTTTGGCAACGAAAATCGAAAACCCATTTGTTTCCATCCATCAGAACTCGAAATCTCCATATTCATGTCTCCAAGAAAGCTTCTTGTTTTCTGGGTCGACGTCTTCTTCCTCATAACTCTCTTCCTCCGCCGTGGCTCGGCCGAGAACGTCAACTTCTACTTCCCATCTTTGAACTTCCGAAACCTCACCTTCCTCGGCGACTCCCACATCCGAAACGGTGTCTTGGGGCTCACCGCGAGCTCACCGTCCCCTCCTCCAGCGCCGGTGCCGTCATCTACAACAACCCAATTCGGTTCTTCGACCCGGAGTCCAACATCACTGCTTCTTTCTCCACAAAGTTCGCTTTCTCCATCGCCAACGTCAATCCGAGCTCCTACGGCGACGGCATATCGTTTTTCCTCTCGCAGGAGAACTGGACGCTGGGCAGCCCTGGTGGATATCTGGGTCTCGTCAATTCCTCGCAATTGACCAAGAACAAGTTCGTAGCCGTCGAATTTGACACGAAGCTCGATCTTCACTTCGACGATCCGAACGACAATCAGGTCGGATTGGACATTGAGAGCCTCAATTCGATCAAGACCGCTGATCCGATTTCACAGGGTGTCGATTTCAAGGGCGGAATTCGATCACTGCTTGGATTGATTACAAGAACGACCAATAAAAGCTTAAAGTGTATCTGAGCTACTCGAATTTCAAGCCTGAAAAGCCGGTTTTGAGCGTGGACATCGATCTCTCCGAGCATCTGAAGGAGGTTATGTTCGTGGGTTTTTCAGCCTCAACGGAGGGGAGCACGGATATTCATCTGGTTGAGAATTGGAGCTTTCATACCTTCGGGTTTGTTGCGAAAATGCCGAGGTTGTAGCCACACAATGTGTCCGATACTTAGGTGGCGGTGAGTCCGAGGATTCCCGTGTCCGGTTCAGGGGATAAGCATCACCGGCGGCTCGGTTTGGGACCTGGGATTGCTGGGCCAGCGTTCTTTTGCGTGGCGCTGGTGGTTTTCAGTTATGTTTCCGTGATGAAATGGATGGAGGTGAGAAAACAGAAGAGCTTCAAAGCAGAGCTGGTGGCAGGGCCAAGAGAGTTTAGTTACAAGGAGCTGAAATCTGCCACAGGAGTGTTTCATCCCAGTAGGTTGGGACTGTTTACAAGGCGTTTTTTGTGTCTTCAGGCACCATTTCTGCGGTGAAAAGATCCAAGCATTCCCATGAAGGTAAAACCGAATTCCTCTCTGAGTTGTCGATTATTGCTTGCTTGCGTTACAAGAATTTAGTTCACCTTCAAGGCTGGTGCGTTGAGAAGGGTGAATTGCTTCTTGTTTACGATTTCATGCCTAATGGGAACCTCGAAAAGGCGCTGTACCAAGAATCTGTACAACGAACTTTGTTAGATTGGTCTCGGAGACTGAATATTGCGGTCGGATTGGCGTCTGTTTTGGCATATCTGCACCAGGAATGTGAGCAGCAGGTCATCCACAGAGACATAAAGACTGGAAATGTGTTGCTTTACGGGAATTTAAACGCAAGGCTCAGTGATTTCGGGCTTGCAAAGCTCATGGATCACGATAAAAGCCCTGTTTCCACACTGACAGCGGCAACAATGGGGTACCTTGCGCCTGAGTATCTTCAATATGGAAAGCCACCGAAAAGACTGATGGTTTTAGCTATGGTGTGGTGATCCTTGAAGTGGCGTGTGGAAGGAGGCCAATAGAAAAAGAGCCGGGAAGTGAGAAGGCGGTGAATTTGGTTGATTGGGTTTGGGGGCTGCATTCAGAAGGGATGATTATCGAGGCGGCTGACAAGCTGCTGAATGGGGAGTTTAATGTGAAAGAAATGAGAAATCTGTTGCTTGTCGGATTAAGTTGTGCTAACCCTGATAGTGCGGAGAGGCCTACGATGAGGAGGGTTCTGCAGATTCTGAGCAATGAGGCAGAAGTTCAAGCCGTCCCAAGGGTGAAGCCGAGTCTGAGTTTGTCTAGCAGATTGCCTTTGTCCCTTGATGACATTGTTTCGGATTGTGAGGAGGATTCCAATAGCCCTACAAGCTCGATGTGTGAGATCGTCATTCACTGAAAAATATATGCAGATTTGAAGAGTTTATAGATAGTTGGATTCTTCCATTCTTTTAACTTTACCACTGCTTTTTTTTTTTTTTTATCTATCCTGTAGTTTGAAGATTAGAGACTGTATAGTCCACTGGCCTGAGTTCAAAGCTTTCTGTTGAACTGTGTGGTCTCTACTTTGTCCAGGACAAAAAAAGCTTCTTGCTTGAATATTTCAACTGTAATGGAAGACTAATTTCTGACTGGTTTACAAGTTGAATGTTACACACGAACGATTTCTATACTATTCGATCTTACTGTTCTTATACCGTTCTGTTTCTTGGGTAGTTTGATTTGGTCTTTCCTAATGGTACGATACTGAGCAGTGGGTGATCTGTAGAGTGATTCTGTTTGCACCCGTAAATCTGTTCGACACACACCCTCTCCCTCTCTCAGGCTAAAGTAGCCATGGCAAAGGGAGGAGAACTAGGAAGGTTTTTGAGAGATAGAGAGAGAGAGAGAGTGTGTGTGTGTGTGTGTGTGTGTGTGTGTGTGTGTGTGTGTGTGTGTGTGTTCTTTGGGTGTGAGAGTAAGAAGATGCAGAAAGTAGATATAGCGATGACATTCATAGAACTTACAGATTCTGAACTTTTTTAATCTCCCTCTATGCCAGAAGAGAATTTGAACTATCTGCTTTGCAGAACTTGAGAATTTTTCGGATTGCATCGCTATCAGGAGAAATTCTCAAGTTTTGGTAGTGAAGTATTCAAGAATAGTACACTGCAATCCTTCTGTTTCATAATTGACCTCCTTTATACACGCAGATTTGAAGCTTTTCGCCATCGGGATAAATTCTCAAGTTTGGTACTGAAGTGTATTAAGCAGATAAGTACGTGCAATCAGTTATGGAAGAATTCGACCTGCTATGCACAAACAGAACTAAGAAAGTGGACGAGTTCTTATGAGCACAAGATTTTGAAATTTACCGGATCCTTGCGTCTAATTACCATTGACATTATTCCAGTTCAACTCCTTTTTGATGTACAGATAAAAACTGTGTACCAGGCAAAGCCAAACCAGAACGTTCTGCAAGTAAGAACTCCGTGCTGGTCAAGTAATCTGCCAGGCCCAGACTCAAGGCAGCAAGCTTGGAGAAATGCTGAACCAGAATATGCAACATCGTTCTTCTCCCCTGAAATCGAATTGTGCACAACATCAGTGAATTCT